TCTCCCATTCCCTCCTTCCTCCCTTCCTCCCTCCCGTTCTCTCTTTCCTTCCTCCCTTTCTTCCTTCCTTCCTTCTTCCCTCCCTCCCTCCCTCCCTCCCTCCTGCTTGACCTCTAAGGAGGTCCAGTGCATGTTTCAAACTTGCCCCCATTCCCTGTATTTGAACTGAGAGGAACAACTTCTTCAGGATCCCCTAAGAGTCCAAGTCCGTGATTCCTGGATAGATGACTTAATTTGATGTCCTCTCTGCTTTTCCTCTCTGCTGGGCCAAAACGGACCGTGGGAAAATAACTCTGCTCCACAAGTTCTCAGGCTGGCGTCCTTCTTATCAGGATCTCTTTTCTCTCCTTCTAGATCTCCGGAACAAGGTCTTTGTTTTCCCAACAGCATCTACCACGGCTGTTGTGCTTCTCCACGTCTCTAACCAGCAACCCTTGACCAAGCTGACCGTCTGTTTGAGACACTACACCCTCCTGTCCCGGGCGTATGGCCTCTTCTCTTACGCCACCCGGTCAAATACCAATGATTTTCTGATTTTGAAGAATGATTACAACGAATATTCCATTTACGTTGGTGGTTTCTATGTAAATTTCAAGGTTCCTCAGAAGGTTGAACCGAGCTGGGATCACATCTGTGTGTCCTGGGACTCCAGCAATGGGCTGGTCCGGTTCTGGCTCAACGGGAAACCTTTTCCTCGGCGGAGTCTGAAAAAGGGCTACAGCATCAGCCAGGAGGCCTCCATCATGCTGGGGCAGGACCAGGACTCCTTCGGAGGGGGGTTTTATCTCAACGAATCCTTTGTGGGGGAGATTTCAGAGGTCAACATGTGGCCTCTTGTGCTGGGGCCATCTTTGGTTAGAGTGTCCAAGAACAACATTGACATTGCTAACCCTCTGATTAGCTGGAAGTCCCTGAGCTACACCATCAAGAACGAGGTCTTTGTGGACGATTTGCTGAGTCCCCAAGAGGAATGCATCTGTTGAAAGAAAGACAGAAGAAAAGAAAATTCTCTTTGGAAAAAAAAAATCTATATTTCTTCAATGGGATGCCAATGGCTCAAGTAGCCGTTGGTGAATTACAGGCAGGTGATCCATGCTTGAAAAGCAGGTGTGAGGATGCTGGTTTCTTTATCAATAAAATTAACTTCTTTTGGTCATGTTCTGCTGCCTGTTCCTTGTGGGTTCTTCTTATGGGAAAACAAAATCCTAAATGCAGGTGCAGGGCCCACAGTACTACCATAAAGCAACTACAGATAGAATCTTGTAAGCCTTGGCATGAGTCTCTCTGTGTTTTTCTTCCTTCTTCCCTTTCACTCTCCTTCCTTCCTTCCTTCCTTCCTTCCTCCCTCCCTCTCCTTCTCCTTCCTCTCTCCTTCTCCTTCTCCTTCCTCTCTCCTTCTCCTTCTCCTTCCTTTCTCCCTTTCTTTCTTTCTTTCTTTCTTTTTTCTTTCTTTCTTCCTTTCTTCCTCCCTCCCTCCCTCTCCTTCTCCTTCCTCTCTCTTTCTCCTTCCTTCCTTCCTCCCTCCCTCCCTTCCTCCCTCCCTCTCCTTCTCCTTCCTCTCTCCTTCTTTCTTTCTTTCTTTCTTTCTTTCTTTCTTTCTTTCTTTCTTTCTTTCTTTCTTTCTTTCTTTCTTTCTTTCTTTCTTTCTTTCTTTCTTTCTTCCTTCCTTCCTTCCTTCCTTCCTTCCTTCCTTCTTTCCTTCCTTCTCTCCCATTCCCAGCTTTTTCAAAGAGTGGGAAAGGTCTGCCCTCTGGTGTCCTACTTTGGCATCTGCACCTTAAAAGAAAAAGGCTGGCTATACCCAAGGTCTGCAATAGGGGCGCCCTCTGATGGGAAGTAAAAAAAAGGGCAGGATCCAATGTGGGTCAGTCACTGGGACCAGAGGTTTTGTCTTCCAAGCTCTTAGGAGGAACTTAGAAGTATCCGATGGAGAACTGAAGTCCATCACGTGCTGGAAACATCCTCAGGGAACTTCTCTCGCACTGGATTGTAGGTGCAAAGAGGTAGATGGTGGCCCTCTGGTGGCTCAATGGGGCAGCTGCACCTTTAAACAGAGAGCAACAATTCTGCCCTCTGGTGGTTCTGCTTGGCCATTGCAGAAAGAAAGAAAAGAAAGAAAGAAAGAAAGAAAGAAAGAAAGAAAGAAAGAAAGAAAGAAAGAAAGAAAGAAAGAAAGGCAGTTTTCCTCATAGCCAAATCTTCGTGTAGCTGGCACCCACAACTGGTTGTGAAAATAATACCGATGCTAGAGGATTGTGGTTCCTTTTTCAGCAGCCATCCCTCTTTTGTAAGTCTTCTTTTAAAATGAAAAGTGTATATCTACCTGCACTTTGTGTCGGAAGATCACAATTTTTTTTTTTTAAAAAAAGTCTTCTGAAACATACAGGTCGTCCTCATTGAACAACTGGTCATTTGTCAGTTGTTTGACGTTATAACAGACCACCCAAAAGCTACATAGGACCCTGAGCCAGAGTTTCCACAGCTGCACGCACACACGCACACACACACACACACACACACACACGCACACACACGGACGCACAGAACCACATTTTGGAAGCTTCCTTGTTTCTTTCGTCCCTCCCTCCATCTTTCCTTCACCCCTCCAATCTTCCTTCCTTCCTTCCTTCCTTCCTTCCTTCCTTCCTCCCCTTCTCCTTCCTCTCTCCTTCTCCTTCCTCCCTCCCTCCCTCCCTCCCTCCCTTCCACCCATCCTTTCTTCCTTAACTAGGACACAGAAAAATGAGCGCTTGGGACCTGTTCTCATGCTTGGCCCCCAAAATCTCTTGAACTGTCCAGTGTGTAATTCAAGCTTCTCCCCTTTCCCTGAACATGGGCTGAGAGGAACACTTTCTTCAGGACCACCTAAAAACTCCTCTGCCCCTCTTTATGAAAGGATTTGGGGACAAAACAGCCAGCTAAGAAATGGCAACATGATCTCGGTTTATGCTTGAACACCTGAGCGAGCCAAAACCCAAGATCCATTGCCTTAAAAAGAATCCACCCCTTCTTTCTCCACCCATCGTCTTCTAGACCAGGAGTGTCCATCCTTGGCAAGGCCTGGGAACCTCAGCTCCCAGAATTCCCCAGCCAGGCAGCTGGACCCCCTTATCCAGTCTTTTTTCTGACCTTCAAAGGAACATCCCACCCAGGACACCCCAAAAATGGCAACTGAGACATGTCTGAGCGTGAAGCAAAACTGAACGGAAAGGCCCTCCAAACTCTTTTGATTGTACATCTAGTTAAAAAAAAATAAAAATAAACATTGAGCCCCTAAATATATTTCTACACATGCAGTAGTTACCTAACACGTTGTGTACATTAGAAAGCCTGTTGCAATGTAAATATTCTCTTGGGGAAAAGTCCAGGGAAGAAACTTACGGTCAGTACCCCCGTTTGTTCCAAGTTCAAGAGAAACACGCAAGCAACACCCCAGAGTTTCACCATTTGAAGAGGGGATTCGG